CTTGAGAGGGGTATGGCGCTGGGGGCCGTACGGCGGGAAGGAGAACGGGAGACGGGAAGCCTTCCCCCACATCACGTTCCTCTTCGGGCTCCTCCTCGCAATCCATTTCCTCCTCCTCCTGCACCTCCACCACCTCCTCCTCCTCCTGCGCCACATCCTCCTCTCCATCGGGGCAGGGGAGAAGGAGGGGGGACACGAGGGGGGAGTACGAGGAGGACGGTGCTGTTCCTCGCCCTCCCAATCCTCCTCCTTCTTCTCCTCCTCCTCCTCCTCATCATCATCATCCTGCTCCTCTTCCTCCTCCTCCTCCTTCTCCTCCTCCTCCTCCTCCTCCACCTCCTCCTCCTCCTCCTCCTCCTCCTCCTCCTCCTCCTCCTCATCATCATCATCATCATCATCATCATCATCATCATCACCATCATCACCATCATCACTCATCATCATCACCATCATCATCATCATCATCATCATCATCTCATCATCATCATCATCATCATCATCATCATCCTCATCCTCATCCTCATCCTCATCATCATCCTCATCCTCTCCTCATCCTCATCCTCATCCTCATCCTCCTCCTCCTCATCCTCCTCATCATCATCATCATCATCATCATCGTCATCGGCATCGTCATCATCATGATCATCACCATCATCATCATCATCATCACCATCATCATCATCATCATCATCATCATCATCATCAGCATCATCATCATCATTATCATCATAATCAACATCATCATTATCATCAGCATCATCAGCATCATCATCAGCAACATTATCATCAACAACATCATCATCGTCATCAGCATCATCATCATCATCATCATCATCATCAGCATCAGCATCAGCATCGTCATCATCATCATCGTCATCATCACCACCACCACCATCATCATAATCACCACCACCACCGCCACCATCATCATCATCATCATCATCGTCATCAGCATCATCATCATCATCATCATCATCATCAGCATCATCATCATCATCATCAGCAGCATCGTTATCATCATCATCATCGTCATCATCACCACCACCACCATCATCATCATCAGCATAATCATCATCATCATCATCATCATCATCATCATCATCATCTCACCTCTTCCCCCCTACTCGTCCTCCTCATCCGCGTCCTCATCCTCCTCCTCGTCCTCCTCATCCTCCTCCTCCCCCTCCTCCTCCTCCTCCTCTTCCTCCTCCTCCTCCGACTCCTTCTCCGCCTCCTCCTCCTTGTCCTCCTCCTCATCCTCTGTTTCCTCTTCCTCCTCCTCCTCCTCACCACCACCACCACCATCTTTATCATCATCATCATCATCATCATCATCATCAGCATCATCAGCATCATCATCATCAACACCATCAGCATCGTCATCATCAGCATCGTCATCATCATCACTGTCATCATCAGCATCATCATCATCAGCATCATCGTCGTCATAATCAGTATCATCATCATCAGCAGCAGCAGCATCAACAGCATCACCATCATCGTCACCATCATCAACGACATCGTCAGCATCAGCATCATCATCATCATCAGCAGCAGCAACATTATCAGCATCATCAGCATCATCAGCATCATCACCACAACCACCACCACCACCACCACCATCATCATCATCATCAGCGTCAGCATCATCATCGTCATCATCAGCATAAGTATCATCATCCTCATCATCATCACCGCCCTCCTCATCATCATCAGCAGCATCATCAGCAGCAGCGTCATCACAACCATCATCATCAGCATGATCAGCGTCATCATCATCATCAGCAGCATCATCGTCATCACCATCCTCATCAGCATCATCATTTGCATCATCATCACCATGCTCACCATCATCATCAGCAGCAGCATCATCAGCAGCATCATCACCATCATTATCATCATGAAAATCGTCAGCATCGTCATCACCATCATCATCAGCATCATCATCATCAGCATCACCATCCACATCAGCATCGTCATCCTCGTCCTCATCATCATCATCCGCAACATCATCATCATCATCATCATGAGCATCAGCACCGTCATTATCACCATTGTCATCGTAAGCATCATTATCATCAGCATCATCACCACCAGTTCAACCATCATCATTAGCATAAGCATCATCAACACCATCATCATCACCGTCATCGTCGCGGTCATCGCCATCGCCATCGTCATCAGCATTAGAATTATCATCCTCATCTTCATCGACATCATCAGCATCCTCACCATCATCAGCATAATCAACATCATCAACATAACGATGACCATCAGCATCGGCGTCATCATCATCAGCATCACCATCATCATCTCCATCATGATCAGCATCATCAGCATCAGCATCACCAGCATCATCATCAGAATCATCCTCGCCATCATCATTATCATCATCAGGATGGTCATCCGAAGCATCATCATCGTCGTCGTCGTCGCCGTCGTCGTCGTCACCGCCATCCTCTTCCACCTCCTCCTCCTCAGCCCCCTCGTCAGCATCAGCATCATCAGCATCATGTTTATCAGCATCAGCACCAGCATCAGCACCATCATCAGCACCATCATGACCATCAGCATCATCACCATCAGCATCAGCATCAGAATCACCATCACCATCGTCATCAGCATCACCCTCAACAAAATCAGCAGCACAATCACCATCATCATCATCATCATCATAACCAGCATCACCATCATCATCATCATCAGAATCAGTTCCGGATTCTTCAGCATCATCATTAGCAACATCTCCATCAGCACCATCATCGTCGGCACCATCAACTGCACCATCCTCATCAACGTCATCATAGCCGCAAACATCACCATCAGCAGCATTATCACCATCGCCACCATCCTCTGCAGCAGAAGCGGCATCATCCTCACCATCATCAGCAACATCAGCGGCAGCATCATCATCCTCCGCCTCCCCATCATCATCAACCTCGGAATCATCATCATCATCATCCTCAGCAACAGCATCAGCAACACAAGCATCACCATGATCATTATCATCCACACCACCATCAACATCAGCATCTTGGTTATCATCATCAGCATCAACATCATCAGTATCATCAGTATCAGCGCCAGCATCACCGTCGTCATTCACATCAACCTGGTCATGCCATCATCATCACCAACAGCATCGTCAGCATCATCAGCATTTGCATCACCGTCACCATAACCATCACAAAAATCAGCATCAGCTTGAGTATCATCATTGCCATCACCATCAACATCAGCATGATCAGCATCATCACCACCAACATCACAATCATTAACATCAACCTCATAAACAGAATCCGATTCATCATCATCACCGTCATCATCAGCACAATCGGCATCATCAGCATCATCGTCAGTACCATCAACACCATCATCGTCAGCATCAACACAATCATCAGCATCAGCGCCACCGTCATCAGCAGCATCATCACCAGCATCAGCAACAACATCATCAGAACCATTTCCATCATTACCATCATCGCCGTCAGCCTCATCATAATCAGCACCATCATCAGCTTAACCATGACCATCAATATCATCATCACCAACATCGTCACCGCCATCGCCATGGTCATCAGCCTCATCATCACCATCGGTATCATCACCATCACCAGCAAAATCAACACCATCATCACAATCAGCATCTGCATCGTGTTCGTCACCATCCTCAGCATAGTCGGAATCATCACCCGCATCACCAGCATCCTCAACCGCATCATCACCATCAGTATCCGCACCACCATCACCATCCTAATCCTCCCCCTACGGAAAAACCGTAACAGGCCAGCGAACACCATAGAGCAATAATGCTAAGACCGTTCAAACCGCCCTGGAGAAAGGGGAACCGGGGAAGTACAGAAGCTATGGATGCCTTTGGGCTGCCTGACCGAAGTTACGGCTGGCAGCAGGGCAACGCAGCGGCGGGAAGGGGTGTTCCACACTCCCACCCCCACCTGTGACTTCCGCTCCCCCCTCGTCCTCCAGGGTGGGAACCTGCTCTTGGGTAGTTGGGCAGGAGATGAGCGCGGCCCCGTCCACTCTGCACCCCGACAGGAGCCCTAAACAGCGAAGATACACCACAGCAAAGAATAAGGCTGGGGTCGGATTGCAAATAGAGGACCCAAAGCTTCGCTGTTTGGGAAACCCGAGCGCGAGAGCCTCGCTCTCTAGACAATGTTGAAGCACTGCTGGGCCAAAACAAGCCAGCGCCGTTACGACAACCCTTCGTGATTAGGAGGACTGGAGGTGATCCCCCATTCCCCTTCCAATTGAGCACGCAAACTCCCACGCACAGCACGCACACACGCACGCACAATAGTACTCGAAATCCTCCGCCCCCTTCCTCCTCCAGAGAGGGCTGGCAAAGTGCTAAAAACTTTGGGAATGGTTAAGGCAAAAGAAGGGTAGCCAGAAGTTAAGGAGAAATCAAGTACGACAAGGGGGCAAGGTGAAGATTGCAAAACTGAGCAGCAAGCCGCGACCGATGAGCATCCAAATGCTCGGCGCAAGAACTGTTACGACGGATCCATCGACTTTACACCGCGGCCCCCTAAGGGACCGTCACACTCCAAGCCGCGGGATGCAAGTGCTCTCTTCCGCCCTCTCACCCCTCACTACCATTCAATGCCAGCCTCTGCGACTACACATGCCCGAGGACCCTGTCATAGACGCGGTCTACTATATCTGCGAGCACCCGGTGCTTGATGTACGCTCGTTCTGGCTAGCACGAGAATGGACCTTCAGCCCTTCGGAAATACGCATCACGTCCCTGCCAAGGTGTCCAAACTCATTCAGGACAGCCGCGCTCGTGATCTTTGAACTGAGCGGGTTCTCCCGCACGTGGTGGCAATAGTTCTCGAGATTGGTCTTCGCCTCCAACGGCTCGGCCATTCCGCTTGCGTCCGCCACCACTTCCGCCTTGAATGTGGCGCACTCGCGTAGTGCTGGGTGCTAATATGCACCTCCTGCTGCATATCCGCCTGGAATGGCCTTGCAGC